CCCCCCCCCCCCCTCCACTCCACCCCTGCAGCTAGGGGAAAGCTGGAGTTCAGCTCCATGGCTGCAATGGAGGGAGGATAGTGGTCATTCCCCAGGGAGCCCCGGTCACTCTCCCTCCTCACCTCACTTTTGGCAGGAATGACAAGGAAAGCAGGCTGCTTCCAGCCCTGGGGTGCTCAGGGCCTGATCGCGCCCGCATCCTGCACTGGGGTGGATTTGCGGTCTCTGAGTTAGGCAGTATAAACTATGGCAGTGTTACTTCTTTGCCTTGCATTTTGGTCTTCATCTGCTTTTCCCCAGCATGAGTGCAGAGGAAAATCAGTTCTCCTCTTTATTTCAAATATGCTAAATATTACTTAAATACTTTATATATCTGCTGCCTTGTCCTGGTTCAGCTAGGATAGGGTTAGGTTTCCCCAGCAGATCCCTTCCCCCTCTCTCTCTGCTGGGGAAACCTAACCCTATCCTAGCCGAACCAGGACATGCCTAGAAAAATATCAATTATATAAATATTGAACTCATGTATGCTTATATGTATGTATTCTACACCTGTAGACATTAACTGTGTTAAAGTTGGTCATGTGTAGTTTTAGTACAGCCTAAAAACCCATAAGCTAAAGGCACTGTCATGCAGTTTTGAATCTGGATAAAAAATTTCTAACAGGACGCTGTCATGAAAGTAGTAACAATTGCATATAATGGTATCTTTTAGTTGGTCTTTGTACAGAACCTGTTGGTGTGCTGTAAATTGATGTAGCTGTATCAAGGGATGTGCTATTTTACTGACATAGCGGTTATCCTAAGATGGAAATTATTTCAACACAGAAAAAAAATGTTTGATAGCAACATCTTAGTTTCAGGGAGAAAATAACATTTTCCCTTACCTTCATCTAGGGGGGGTTTCTCTACATGTCCTTTAGTTGGATGTGAAGCATCAAGGTAATTGTTTTTTGTTCATGTACTATTAAGTGCTCAAGAGGAAAAGTAGGTCTTGTTTAGTATGTGACTCTTTCAAAATTACTCATGCTTGAAACAAACTATTGATATTAATACTAGAGATCAGGCTTTGAAAATTCACCCCTGTGTTTGCCTGTGATTTGCCTGTGTATTTTCTTACTCCGATTTGTATGGACGGATTAGTTTATTTGTTTAGAGAATTTATCTCTAATGTAGTTTCTGAGTCTGTGCAAAAGAATGTGTTTCCATCTGGAAACGCTAAAACTGCGTATCTCACTGAAGCAACTGAACTGTTATTAGTGTTAACTTTCAATAATACTATTTTCAGTTATTTTAGTTGACAGAATTTCCAGCTGGTCAAAACTAGTTTAGAAGTGATTAATTTAATGAATACTATTTCAACATTACATAGCACTATTCATCCTGAGGTGTCAAAACACAGATACTAAGTTAGCCTCACAACTCTCCTGTGAGGTAGGTATACTAAGGTATTATTATCCCCATTTTGCAGTAGGGGAAACTGAGGTCCAGAAGGATCTTGTAACTTGCCCAAAATCAGGAAGTTAGTGGAGATCCGTGGTCAGAAGCCAGGAGTCCAATGTTTATCCATTGCTCCAATAAGTAGGCTGGGTCACTTGGGCTACCCATAAATAATGGTTGGCGAGATATGTACATGACACTACCACCAGAATAAGCAGGAACAGTTTTGCCTTGCTTATAGCAAAGCAGAGAAATGGCAAAAGTTCGATCCTAGAGCAAATTTGTAAAGAGCTTCATGTTTTCTATATGAATGCTCACTGTAAGATTCCAATTTGCTTTACAAGAGCTTGACTGTACATACTGGTAACATCCTGATATCACTTGGCATAAAACTCCTTCTGTCTTAGTATTATGGAATTAATCCTCAAAATAAATTTAATTCACATCAAGTTATTTAGGATTTAAAGTATTTTTGCTATGTATCATTCACACAAATCAATTTCTCTAAAGGAAACCTCATAAAAATAGAAATTGTTGATAAAAAATAACCCAAGCAAACATTATCCCTGTAATTTTTTGTGAATGATGCAAGTGAATTGCTTGTTGTTTCCTTTTGCCAATGTACTTTTCTGTAGAGATACAAACAGGATACTGTCTTGAGGTACTTTGAGTTCATGATAGTTCCCAATCCCTGATGAGATACTTCTTTGCAGCAGGATGCCCCTGCACAAAGTTCTACCTGAAATGGGACAATGAAATATAACTCCTACATTTCTTTTCACATACGTAGGTGCTTCAGGAAGACATAAAGAGGGAAGGTTATACAGAGTGTTCTCTGTGCCTCAAAACACCCTTATGGCTAACAAATTTTATATTATAGCAAATTTGTACAGTAGAAAACAGGACATAAAAATATTTCCAGAAAGTGGCTTTAAAACTATTATAAATAGTAAGTTTGGCTAATCTTTCAATTAAGGGTTTTGGGGACAGTTTTAAGTATTCTTATTCCCCCTTAATTCACAGTAAATTTAGTATGCTTGTGGCCTAATGAACAACCCATACACATACAGGGACCATTTCAGCGGGATTATATGGCAAGAGAAAGATCTGTTAGTCGCACAAGCAAAACAATTTTGAATCCTCCAAAAAACTCTTGGAATCCTTCCTGATGCTCTGGGTCCCATTATGGCATTCCCTTTCTACTCAACCCACACCCTCAAATAATTACTCACTTTTATTTTTCACATTCTGCAAAAATTATTTTGCCTAAGCCCTGCCCAAGCGATCGTAACAAATAGAAAAAGTCCAAGAAATTGGCAGCACAAAGCTCTCACACCTTCCAAAACTGGGAAAATAATAATTTACCTTAATTTATGCTGTGGCGTGTTTCATCTTCCTTTGTCTTGTCATATAATAGGAATAATGTTCATGTTGTGGGTGAGTGCTTGCAGTTAGTGGCCCCACAGTTATTTAACCTCTGCAAAAGCCATACGTTTAGAATATATTTCTTGTGAATATTATACCTTGCCTATTGAATAGTACTTCATTTCACTGGGCCACAATATAGGGTCTGTGTAAACAATCAGCAGAACCTGTAACCATGGTTCTGTTGTGAACACTATCAGCAATGCTTTCTGTATGTATGTGTACATATATATATATAAAAATTTACATATATATGTATGTATACAAATCATAGTCCTTTAAGTACCTGTTGCATGTGTGTGCATGCACAGGAGAAATATTACATTCTACTAATGGTAAGGCATATTATTAGATAGGCAATATCGGCAATTATTTTAGCTTTTATCTTAATTTGCTGTGTTGCTGTTGATCGCATGCTGCCAGAAGATCTTTAAGGATGATGGGGACGGGAAGAGGCCACTTCGAAGGTTTATTGCACACGGCGGCAGTAGTAGCCCAAAACTTTGCACTTCTCACACAGATGCTGGGGATGTTCTTTGCTCTGATCTGAAACATCCAGGCCATCCGGCTTTTCCAGGGGTCTCTGCAGTGCAGGGAAGGAAATTGGATTAGATCCAAGGTTTTGTCACTGTTACTCTTTATTATGAATGTGAAGCCTACTTTTATGCTTCACTGAGCTTCCTCCTAGTAGTTATAAAGGTACTGTAATTCTCTTCTGAAGGGATGAAATATTTTTTTTCAGCTCTTCAGCTCTGTATTGGTTCAGTGGCCTAACAACTTAATGTCATTCTCCTTCATAAAGGTGGTGGTAACTTTGTTGTAGACAAATTACCAAAAGACTGAACTGGGGACTGTATTTATAAAAGCAGTAACACAGAAGAGTTTATTCTCTTGGCTCCAGTAACTGAGATGTCCCAAAGGCATTAACACCTCAAGAAATGGGAATCCCACAACCCAGCAGTGCCAGCAGGGTTACCGATGTTAGGCTGCTTGACAAGAAAACTGTCTTAACCATACACAGATATTACATAGCTAAATGAGGTTTTCCCAGTACTCAGCCCCATATTTCTGAGGCTGAAATTTTTGAAGTAGAGCAACTGCAGAAAAAAATCTCAAAACAAACAAAACCCCAAACAAAACCCCCAACCTCATAACACAACACTTTGCCCTGAACCTGAGTAACAAACTGACTATGTATTTTTAGTAAAATTTGTGAACTCACAGAGTTGGAGGTATATTAGTCTAAACAAGGGAATGAAATGGCTTTGTTTTTAGTAGATCTTCGTTGTTTTAATTTTCCATGACATGTAAAGGGTTTCACAATCATTCTGAAAATAAAATACCTGTGTTAAATATTGCAGTAAGTTCAAGTGTTTGGGAAGTCTAATAGGTAGAGAGGTCATAGAGATATGAGGTAGAACATAGTAAAGTGCACCGTTTGTTTGAAAAAAACAAAATTCCCTAACCCATTAATTTCTCTGTTTTTGTGAAATGTATCTGAAAGACTATTTCATTGCACAGTGCCTTCCCATGAAGACGGCAGTTGTTATACAGGACTGTAGTAGAGACATCTTTTGGTGTGAAATCTGAAAATAAGCCATAAACTTCTCATTGTTCTCACAGGGATACTAGACTCTTGCTTATCTTTTCAAAATATGATTCTTGGAGCAGGGGGTGGATAAATGTAAATGACAACATTATGGCCATTTATCTTTTTACACCTTTCCTAAATCCTAGACTTTAACTGTAAAATCTTAAAGTACACCCGATCATCTAAGATTTCATTTTTAAGTTCTTAATTCGAAAGCCACCCACCTGAAACCCTGTGGACAGGAAGAACAGAGACATTCAAAGCTTTTTTTGACTATATAACACTATAAGAACAGCTCATAATCCAGAGAACAGAAGGGTTTCTCAGTTCTCTGAATAGCTGAAATGAGACAAAATATATTCTATTATCCTGAAGAAGGGATGCCTGCAAATTCTTGCTTGGATGTATTGGATTATAAGTACAACACTTGTGCATGATATTGCACAACTAGTCAAAACAATATATAGGAGTAATTCAGTGGTGATTGCCAGTGGTTTGTTACTGAGTCAATGTTCTTCATCAGGTATTGCCTGAAGTTTCATCTGTCCTGGGCCACATATTATATGTCTTTGAGTTTAACTTCATTTACAATTTAATTGCAAATTGGATTCCTTGTATCAGGCAGGGGATAAGGAAGGCAGTTGCATCCCTCATCTCCTCTAAATGCTTTAATATCCCCCTGCAACCCCACTGAGCTTCGAATGACTTGTTGGAAGTCCTAACATTCAGTACGTTAGGATTTGAGATCAGAACCAGGAATTCTGCTTCTACGCTTACAACCCAGCCACCAGTGCAAATAGTGCTTCTGCCACAACACCAAGTTGTCTAAGTTCATTTGGTCAGAAAAACTGCCCTTCTGCCTCTTCTACCACTTATTCCACCAACATCTGCCCACAAATTTTCTTCATGAATTTGCATTACATAAAAGTAGTCAAAGATGATGCTCAGGTTCAGGGGTCCCAGGAGTTAATTTACGTTTCTCAGTGGAGAACCGGAGAGTTTGAAATGCTACATTTAAAACAGGCTAGTGGACTCAGTTCTGATTGCTTCTACATGCTAGCTGTGCTCTGATTAAAGATAAAAAGTACAGCAGTTACCATGTTTATTGATATAAGCCAGATTTTTTTTTTATACGCAAGGCCTTGGGAATCATTTTTCCTGGAAATAGTGCAAAGGACATTGGGAATGCCTTGAAGCGCCAAGAGTTTTTGGACGGTTTTCAGAAACAATAGCTCTCCACAGTTTGCTTTCCCCCTGTGTTGACTGAGCTCAGCTTTTTGGCCTGCAAAGCATTTTGATTTCAGAAATGTTATTGTTACCAGCATGTTACGACATGGAGGCTGGGGAGAGAGGGGTTACAATACAGGAAAGCAGGTTGCCAAGGGCCAGCTGGAAGAAGTGGAGCTGAGCAGAGCCCAAGCTACATCTCTGGTGAGGCAGTGGAGAGCTGAGGCTTTGAATCTGGTAGTATGCTTGTGTGGTTTGTGTCCCAAAACTTCAATGTAACTTTTGCATAAAATGAAATCCCAGCTTATCTTAATTTGTTGTTTTCTCTTCATGGGTTTCTTGTAAGGCAAAAAACGCCTTCAAACACCCTGAGAGGCAACAGTTCTCCTACTGCTATTTGTCTGCTACTAATTATGGAGGACTTTAAAGTAACCTTACACTCTTGCAACCTTGCTTACACGATGCTAAAAGGGTAGGACATTAGACAGCCAAAGGGCTGTATCCATCAAGATTTGACTTCCTTGGCACTGGCTGACCTTGGACAATTCCCACCAGCTTTGGTGTGGTGGAAGCAGTAGGGAAGCAGAAAGATGCTGGCATAAGAGGGGTGTGGCAGGACTGGGCTGCTGCATGCTGTGTATTAGTTTTGGGGATTGCCTGAACTATGCAGAATATCCAAATAGCTGAGGAGGCTGCAAAAGTTCTGTGCTGCTGCTGAGAGGCCGGTAGCATGAAAACTCAGCCATGCATTTGGAGAGGGTGTGGATAAGGGGACAGGCTATTTGGCTGAAAAAATAATTCTTTTCCTTAGAAAGAGGTGAAATGGAGCTTATAAAACAACAGAAAATCCTGCTATCTTTCTCTGGGAAAGGTATGCTTTTTTCCACTAAATGGAAAGTTTAAATATAATACTTCAATTTTCATCACTTTTTAAAAATGCAAGCATCCAGGATTTGGCAGTCCGTATTTTCAGTAAAAACAACAGGGATGGGCACTCTTGCATTCTTAATTTTTGTGTGTCTTTCTTTAATTTTCTCCTGGTAGTTGCCAGGTGAAAATAGTCTTGTGCAGCTCCACCAGGAAAGCATTTGGTGGTAGTGAATAAAGCTGTTGCCTCAAGGGAATGAAGCTGAAATAAATTTAAATTTATATAGCAATTCCTGTCCTGCAAATTAACTTTTGATTGTGAACTATACCTGTCCCAGTCTGCATGTACTGAATGAACTCTGCATTCTCTACAAGTCAGTTAAAAACCCCAAACCCTCAAAACAAACAGTTCACCCTTATGACATGTTAGGTGTCAGAGAAAATGTCGCTAGGATATCCTTGAGGAAAATAACTTCCACTGAGAGGCAGAATGGAATCATGTGGCTGCTTATGTTTGAATTTAGATAGATTTTTTTCTTGTTGTAGAATGGAACAATTTGCACCACTGATAGATAGAGGATCTCATCAAAATTCAAATGTAAGAAAACATAAATAATTTTCGAGACTCATTACCTCAAGTCTCAATGGAGCAAAGGAGGTGATTAAATGACAGATTAGATATGTGAATAGAAACAGATTCTACAACTATAGTTGGAAGGATAATTGTTAGGTTAACAGTCTTAGGGAGCTGTAGGTAGTTATGCGTTCCTCAAGACACACATGCTATCGTGCATTTCTAAATTTTTAGTCCAATAAAAAAATATGCACTGGAGAAAAAGCATCAAATGCAATGTGCGTTCTTGAGCAGTAGACCCTCTGCTTTTCTCTCTGTCTGGGGGGAACAGGGACATTAATGAGGCCCTCAGTGGTCACTGTGGATCTGAGAGGTAGTGATAAAGAAGGCTACAGATCAGAGGCATGATGCTCAGAGAGAGCATGCAGCCTCTGTCAGCAGCATGCCTCTAGGACCAGGCTAGCTAGAAATGAATTATAACTGCAGGAATTAAATGGTGAAAAATCACTTTTTAGAGTTGAGAGAAGTGTAGTCTGGGGTGATATGTATTCCCACTGCTGGAGTACACAAGTACGGGCATGCTGGGGAGGGTTCGTTAAATCTAAAGAGTCAAAAGATCATACTTGTAGGCCTGAAACTGTAGAAAAGGCTTGAGTGATCAGAGCAATCCCTCCCCATAGTGAGAGAAGAGAGGTGGCTGTGGATGCACCCAGGTATGAGAATTGTGATGGGACCACTGTATTTCCCATGGAAGTAATAGCTCGGATATCATGAAGAATATATTTACATACCAAATTATTTCCAGTCCAACAGTAAATTCCTGACAGCTGGAAGAAAACTGCACCCAAGAGGATAAGTCGGTCACCAGATGGCTGGTTTTGTACCAGTGTACCAGCTGTCATCACAAACAGCACTGGAGTTAGCCACAAAGTCAGAGAAGAAGCCTTGATAAGAGGCCAGCCAGGAAGCAACCACGGGTGCAGATGTTGCCGCTATAGCGGACAGGGGAAGAAAATGAGAATTCAAAGCTTGGCATCTGGGCTGTAAGGACTGGCTCTATTGCTGGATCAGGGTAAGAAGGAGCATAAACAACTATAGAATCCAAATTCCTTGGAAGAATAAGAGGTAGGTTTAAGTCCCATCTGAGATATCTGTTTATGTTTACAGTAGCTAAAATAACTGCTCAGGAAACTACTTTTGGAATAGCCACAGAGTATCTTGGTCAGAGTAGTTCATTGGCCTCCTACTCCTCAATAAAGCTTGAGCTCAATGGGGCTCCAATTTTTGTCCCATGTCCTGTGAATTCCTGTAAGCACTTCCACAG